ATTTGTTTTGTGTCTTTACTAAAATTATTATTGAATGCAATTGATAAATGATTGGGAAGTATATAATTCTACCTCTAGAATATAATCTCTATAGGGGAAAAGGTCATATTTGATTTGGTTACATTAATATTTTATGGATGTAGCACTCTGTATAAGTGTATATTTATAGTACATTCTCAAAGTTTGGGTTTTTTTTAGAAAATATGAATAAACAAGATATGATTTTAATTAAATCAAATTGAAAATTTGAAATGTTAAATGCTATCAATCATGTTTTATTTCTTTTTTTTGTAGACACTGACTGTCCAGAAAAGTGGATTGGGTATCGTTGTAACTGTTACCTCATATTTAATGAAGGAAAAAATTGGACAGAAAGTAGAAATTCCTGTGCATCTCAGAATTCTAGCCTGCTTTATCTAGAAAGCAAAGATGAATTGGCATGTATTTTATTTTGGGTTTCCATATTTTGTTTAGCCTGGAAATGCATAGCATCAGAATAGCTATACAATTTGACTCAAGTTTATAATCAGATGAAAAACGGGTGATTTTATTTAATCTAATGACTTAATAATTTCCTGTACCTTGAATCAATTGTAATAAAAGCCACATAAAACTCTTTAAAAATCATAAAAAATAAACACCAATATGTTAGGTAAAGTGCAAGAAACTTTTTAATGACAATTCTTAGAAGAAATGGCAGATCATCACTTTTATTTGTTTTATTCAAATAGCCAACTATACAACTATAATTCTTAGGTGTGTGTTTTTTCATTGAATTTATAATTCCTTTTGTAATTCTGCAGCTCTTGCCACATCTTTGGGATAGAATATGAGATTACTATAGATGAAGGAAGGAAGCTCTGGTAGCATAGTGGTTACGAATTGGGCTGCGAACCTTAAGGCCAGCAGTTCGAAACTACTAGCCACTCCGCGGGAGAAAGATGAGGCTTTCTGCTCCCGTAAAGCCTCAGAAACCCTGTACAGGGTCGCTGTGGGTCGGAACCGACTCGAGGGCACTTAACAACAACAACAACGAAGGAGCTCTGGTGGTGTAGTGGTTACCAGCTGGGCTGCTAACCTCAAGGTCTGTAATTTGAAACTATCAGTTGTTCTGCGGAAGAAAGATGAGGCTTTCTGCTCCCATTTACAAGCTGGGAAACCCTATGCAGGGTTGCTATGAGTCAGAGCTGATTCCATGGCACACCGCCACAACATATACAACTATGTTGTTGTTATGTGCCGTTGAGTCAATTCTGACCCGCAGCAACCCTGTGTAGGGTTTCCAAGGAGTGACCGGTGAGCTGGAATCTCCAACCCTGAGGTTCAAACTGACTTTGCAGTCCAGTTTATTAACCCACAACGCCACACCAGAACTCCGGCTATAGAGGACATTGTTATAAAACAGTTTTCTTCTTCAGAAAAAGTAAAAAGTTCTCTAGTTGTATACAGAACCTGTGCTGAATATAAACTTAGTAAATTATACCCATGAAATTTACACTTTAAGGTACTATTAATTTGAAATGAAATATAAGTGGTGATCCCCTGTAAAGCTGTTTCACGAAAGTTCTTAATCTCTTTGCAACATGTTTCGTTGTATAATGAAGAGAGTTTCTATGATTTTTTTTTTCTCCATAAATGAATGGGTCTGATCAATCAGAAATCTGAGCCCCTTTCAGATTAGAAATTAAAGAGGAAAAGACTTTCGTCGGTGTGATGGGTATGCCAAATCTTATGTACATTAATAACAGAGTAGAGTCAACTTAGGTTAATTATGTCTGCCTCTGTTTTCATGCAGGATTTCTGGAAACACAGTGAATTTTTTTACTGGGTTGGACTGTCTTATAATAAAGCAAATGGCACTTGGTTATGGGAAGACGGCTCTGCCCTCTCCAGGAATCTGTAAGTTTTAGGTAGTCTGGGACCTTTTCTGTTCTTGGTGTATTTATGTTGTTGTTGCTGTTAGGTGCCATCGAGCCAGTACTGACTCATGGTGACCCTATATACCACAGAACGTAACACTGCCCGGTCCTGGGCCAACCTCACAACCGTTGCCTCACCTCAGCCTATCGCTGCCACCACTTTGTGTTTATTGTTGTTGTTAAGTACCATGGAGTCGGTTCCGACTCATAGTGACCCTGCATAGGGTTTTTAAGGCTGTAAATCTTTATAGGAGCAGAACGCCTCCTCTTTCTCCCGCAGAACCGCTGGTAGTTTTGAACAGCTCACCTTGAGGTTGGCAGCCCGACTCGTAATCCCTATGCTACCAGGAGTGCTTAAACCTTAGTGGTTTCACCTGGGTGCAATACAAGGGTAAATTATCTAGAGTATGAGATTACAGAAAAGGGATTAGGTAAACAGAATACCATTTTAACCTAATTTAAAGCATCCAAATCCATTAAGACTATTTTAAAAACAGCAGCAAAGACAAGATAAACACATTCCTGGCCTCAATGCTTTTGATTATTGAGGAAATAACTCAGTTTTCTGTAGCATTGTACTCTGAAATCCTGAAAATTGTGGTTATTGTATGGGAACAAAATAAATGAATGCCTCAGTATATTAATATTGTATTTAATTGATTAAAAATTTTATTATTTAATTTTAAAATTATCCCTTAATATTCTCATTTCCTTTTCTTATATGTTAACCTTTTTCTTTTTCATTACAGATTTCCATCATTTCAAAATTCAAATCCAGAGGAATGTATTTCGTTTAATCCAAAGGGATATACTTTGAGCGAAACCTGTAGGAAAAACAATCGTTTTATTTGTAAGAAATGGCCTATATAAATGGTTCATGGTTCATAGGTTATGGGGCAGGGTGCAGTGCTACAAATGGCAACTTTATCACATTTTATAACTACATGGCTACTGTAAAATGCTGACTATTGTGATTTATCATAAAATTTCCATATCTTTGAAATCATATTGTTTTAAAATTGATGGGGTTTCTGTGTGTACCTGAAAATTTACAGCATCCATTTAAATAATTTTATGGTTTTGTTTTATTGGATATATTTTAATATCAAATTTAATGTAGCTGTATGTTTATAAATTTTTTCTATAGAAATTTAAATAAATTTGACATAACATTAAATAATATATCAACTTCATTTAAATATTTCATTATATTTATAGTGTGCCAACCTTGGTGTGGCATGTAAATTCCCATCCTCACCTCATTTTCTTGAGAATAAAATTAAAATGTTAATGCCCTTTCTTAGCTTTTTCTAGATTTTTATTTACAGGAACATAAAATTAGAGATGAAAGTCTCATAGGTTAGTATTGTCATATGTATCATTAAGAGGGAAGCATATTTGTGAGTCTTCATTAATGCACCTAGATTCTGCAGAATAAATGGAAGGCTTTAGCTATTACATTGCAGTATGTAGTCTTCATAGGATTGCTTCCAGATTTTGCAAGGAGAAATCTAATACAAGTCCTGGTCTTCTGAACTTAAAATATTTTATTCTTTATCCCACAGACCTTATTGCCTTATGTTTATCCATCAGGTAAATAACCATTTACAAGTGAATTGAAGATCAATTTAAAAAATCCTTTTCCTAATCATCATTATCAAGTAAGGTATAATTCTCTTTCTCAGGGTGTGCATGCAAATGGTTTCTTTGAAGAGTCTCTGAGTGTGCTTAAGAAGGGGTGAACAGCAATGTGGTTTGATGTCTCTGATCTGGCTGGGATCATCTTACTCTATCTGCCATCAAAAGCCAGTTCCATTTTATATCTGCTGCAACTATATCTTCAGAAATTTGAGTGTGGCATTCATATCTGATTTCAAGTTTTATTTTCAATTAAATGATAATACTTAAAAAATAAAATTTTATTTTAATATATACAGGGCCAGGAAGATAAAAGGAACTATTAAATTTTGTTTCTGAAAATATGTATATATATATGGATTATAAAGAGAAGTCTTTACATTGAATATTTTGGTTGATTTAGGAAAAGAGTACTTAAATTATATGATGAAATAATGCAAGTTAAAGTATTACATTTTTAACAATATTTGAGCATAGAAAAGAAAATTTATGTATTAAACATTCTGGATATCGAAATGCTTAGGTTCTATTGTTCTGCTGTTTTACAAATAATAAATTTTTTTTTAAAGTAAAAGAATAGCATTACTAAAATAAAACTCACTGAAATTAGAACATAAACTTTTTTCTGAATGATTATTCAATATGCATTTAAGGAAGTAATTTTGATTACTGAAAAACCAAGTACCTTGAAGATGCTAGGTACCGTATTTACAAAGACCAGAAAATCTAAACCCAAACAGCTTTCCTGTCTCAAGTGTACTGTAATTGGTTTCTGTCATGGCTTTGTTCTTTTTATTGGTTTTCCTGTAATGAACCAAGGATGAATTATTATCTTATTTATTTCACAGAATGAAGTTCAAGCTGTTATCATTTAGCCACACCAAAGTGTATATTTAAAGATGTTACTTTTCATATTGTCACCTTTTCAGATGTGCAGACACCATTTCTCCTTCTCTGAGACCACATGGATATTAATTACAGTAGCAAAAGGAGTGAGAATCAGGTGTTAAATATGATGGTTGAAACAGATTCGCTTGTTCTTCTTGCAATTTATTATAATTTCAATATTCTTCTCCAATGCCATAACTCAAAAGCACGGATTCTTGTATAGTTTTCCTTATTCACTATCCAACTTTCAGATGCGAATGAGGCAATTGAAAATATTATAATTGGGCAAGGCCTACCTATCATAATCCTGAAAGAAACATCTTTGCTCTTTAATTCTTTAAAGAGAGCACTTGCAGTAGATTTGCCTAATGCCATATGTTGTTTGATTTCTTGAAGGCTGTGTCTATTAGCCTTGATTTTGTTGATTGTGGATTCAAGCAAAGTGAAGTCTTCAACAATTTCAGCTTTTCTCCATTTATCATGGTATAAATTATTGATCCATTTGTGAGGACTTTTGTTTTCTTTACATTGAGGTGCAATCCCTAATAAAAGCTGTAGTCTTTGGTTTTCATTAATAAGCATTTCAAGTCATCTTTGCTTTCAACAAACAAGGTATGTCATCTGCATAATATTGTTGTTGTTAAGTGATGTCAAGCTGTTTGAGACTAATAGAACTTCAAAGGAACAGCTGGTAAGTTTGAACAGACAACCTTGCAGTTAGCAGTCCAGTGCTTATCCAACAGTGCCACATCAGGAGTCTTCCTCCAATCCTGATGCTACATTCTGCTTCATATCATTCGATTTATATTATATGCTTTGCATACAGATTGAATAAGTATGGTGAAAAGATACAACCCTGACACGCACCTTTCCTGATTTTAAACTATTTTGTACCCCCTTGCTGTGCAGATTCCTCATGAGCACAATTATGTGTTCTGGAATATCCATTCTTCCCAATGTTATCCATAGTTTGTTATGATCAGATAGTCAAAAGCATTTGCCTAATTAATAAAGCACAGGTAAGCATCTTTCCGGTATGCTCTGATTTCAGCCAAGATCCATCTGATGTTAACCATGTCTTATTACATGATTTGAATTACTGCCACAGTCTTTAAACTACCTTCATCACAATTTTGCTTGCATATGATATTAATGATATTGGTTGATGATTTCCACATTTTTTGGGGTTATCTCTCTTTAGAACAGGCACAAATA